CCCCCCCCCTGCCCCGCCGCGTTCACCCGCGCCTTTCGCTTCGCCACGGGCTGGCCCTTGTCGCGCGTCCTCCCCCGTGTCTGGCGTCGCTTTTTTGGCGCCGATTTATGCCCGATTTTGCGCCGCAAAATGGACACCTGGGATCGGCGTCACACCACCCCCCCCACCCCTCGGCACGATTCATGCATCGCCACAACCACTACTATCACCACCATTCTCGCCATCGTTCCTACCACGATCACGAACCGCCACCCCCGCCAGGTGCCTGTCGTGTTCTTCAGCCTGCTACGCAAGGGCACCCCAGACCGCGACCGCAGCGAGGCCAAGCTAGCAGAGGCGTTCGACTTTGTGGCTTCGCAGGTCGGCCACCGCTTTGCACACGCGCGCGCGTCGTGTGCACCACGGCCGTGCATGCATGTGCACTCCTTTCTCCTTACCTTGGCCGCAGCGCTTCCCTGTGAGCCGCGGGCTCCGGCTCATCGCGACTGCCGACGGGGCGGCCCGACGCGCACGCGGCGCCCTCGCACCTCACGCGCGCCCGCTCCGCGCCGCCGCACACCGGCTCGCGCCGCCTGCAGCTGCGCGGCGCGCACAGCCTGCCGGTGACGTACATAGCGCTCGACTGGCACCAGCTGGACAAGGAGCTGGGCAGCGAGAAGCTGGTTGAGGCGTTCTGGTCCACACTCTCAGCAGTGGCGCCCGCGCAGGCAAGCCCCGACGCGCCCCACCCCTGGCAAAAACGCAACCCCGCGTTTCACCCGCCTGTTGGGCTGCCCCTGCTGCAGCTGTCGCTGTGGGGCCGGGTCAGGGGCGCCCGGCCTGCAGCCCCTCGCTTCTGAATTGGTGCCGACGCTCCGGTCTCTGTGGCAAACGATGGGCTGGCCGGGCCTGCGCGGAGGCTGCGGCCCGTGCAACGAGCGCTGCCTGCGGGCACTCTGCGCCTCCCAGCTGTGGAGCTGAAGCATGCAAGTGAGGCGAGGCGAAAGGTCTGATTTTCGGCGTGTGTGCGTGTGCGTCCGCAGGGCTTTGCGCTGGGCACCGTGGCCAAGGTGGGGCCGGACCACACTGAGGCGACGCCCGTGGAGCTCGGGGCGGCAGGCGGCGGCGGGGGCGGCGGATTTGTGGTTGCGGGTCAGCGGGTGAGCCGGCGGCGACGCCCTGTGTGTTGCCATCTGTCCGCTGTCGTCCGCGTCGGCTGCGGTGCGGATGGGCTCCTGGAAATCTCCCCTCCAGGGCGTGGTGCTGTTGAGCTTTGGGCTTGAAAACAAGCACGGCGGAAGATGGGGCGAGTTGCTGCTTTCTATCCAAAACACTGCCCTCACAGGTGCCCGACGGCCCGGCCGGCCGCTGCGTCAGCGCGTGCGGGCGCGGGTGGCGCGTGCAGTGGCTAAAGCAGCAGCGCGGCGTGACGCGGTACAATTGTGCCGACAGCCTCGACCGGACGAATGTCGGGAGCTACTTTGGGGCGGTGCAGGTGAGGCATGGGGCAAGGGTGTGGCATGGCTGCGTGTGAAAGTGTGTGCTTGCGCGCGCGCACGTGAGTGTGCGTGCACATGTGAGTTTGTGTGTGTGTATGTGAGTGTGTGTGTGTGTGTGTGTGTTTTGGGTGGGGGCATGCGTGCGCGCGTGCGCGTGCATGCGAATGTGCGTGTGCGCACGTGTGCCCTGCATGGTTGTGGCTGTGGGTTTGCAGTGGCTGTGGGTTTGCAGCGGGGAGGGGCGACCTCCGGCGCTCAGCAGTGATCCTTTTTGGCCTAGGGCGCTCCCCCTGCCAAACCCTGAGCTGCGCCGCCCAACCCCCTGACTAATGTCTTGCCACCCTTGTGCACGTTCCTTCCCTTCTCTCACCCTTGTCCCCGTCTCCATCCTTCTCAGCTCACCCCTAGTTCAACAACTCACCCCTGATTTGAAAACTCACCCCTGATATGAAAACTCCAACCTCAACCCCCACCCACCCAAAACCAAAGGTGCTCGTGGAGCAGTGCCGCGAATTGGACGTCGCGATCGCAGCCACCTCATCCGGCGCCGCCACCGTCGCCCGCCAGGCAATGCTGCGCCGCCAGGCCGCGCTCGCCGCCGCGGCGGCGGCGAC